GAGCTAAAGAATGGAGGTGGCCTTCAGGGAGAGAGAATGGGGACTGGAGGAGACATAATGATAAGCCACAGACGCTGAATGGCATGTATGATTGACAACAATCATAACAGATCTGTCACGTTCACCTGGGCCGAGCAGTGTACCACACACCCGTCTACCAGGCTGTGGACAGGAGGTTGTGTGACTTGGCTGAGTCCTGGCTCAGCCACCTGTCAACAGGATGACTTTGGGGAAATGTGCCTGGATTTATTAGTCACCATAAAGTTCAGAAGCATTATTTATATAATCAGTTAAAAAAAAAACTTTTCATTGTAAAAAACCGTTAAAGTTTGTTTAAACTCTGAGCTTCAGTTTCCTCCTCCACATCTGTAAAATGGAGGTAATATTAGCACATTTTTAGAGTGAGTGTATCAATCAGGGTTCCCCCCCAAACAGAGACCAACAAATAGGATATATATATATATATATATATATGTGTATATATATATATGTGTGTGTGTGTATATATATATATATATATAGAGAGAGAGAGAGAGAGAGAGAGAGAGAGAGAGAGAGAGGAAGGGTCAGCCTCAGCCTCTGGGGGATTTCGATCATCCAGGAAGACATCCTCCAGGAAGCTTGAGCTGCGCTCTGATTGGTGCATAGGAGAGATGAACAGGTGAAGAAAGAGTGCTCCAGGAGGAAAGATATCAGGTGCAAAGACTTGGGGGCAGAGAGTGTTTAAAGAATAGAAGAGACTGGCAGAAGCCAGTGTGGCCAGAGTGCAGAGGCCTCTGGTGGCTCGTGTGCGCTGGGGCCTGTGGGTGAGTGGGCTGTACTTTACAAGACACCGAAGTCCAGCTTATGGAATTGGATCTTTATGTGAGAGCAATGGGATGCTACAGAAGCAGGGCTGGGACACTGTCGGGCTTGGGTTTTAAAAAGACTGATATGGCCAATGGACAAAGAACAGTCTAGAAGGAAGCAAGATAGAGATCAGTTGGCAGTTTCTGCTGTGGTCCAGAGTGAAGGGGATGGTGGTGCGGATAGAAGTGAATGGAGTAAAAAAAGGAAAATTATTTTGCCATTCAAATGATCATCTTTTGGTAAAACTACTGTAAAATATTATTGTAATATTATATTGTAAACTAGCCACATGACAAAATTTTCTAGTGAGACAAAGTTTGAATGTTTAACTTTGGTTGTAAGAAATGCAGTGAAGGGGAGGGGCTTCCCTGGTGGCGCAGTGGTTAAGAATCTGGCTGCCGGTGCAGGGGACACGGGTTCAAGCCCTGGTCCAGGAAGATCCGACATGCCGCGGAGCAACTAAGCCCATGCGCCACAACTGCTGAGCCTACATGCCACAACTACTGAAGCCCACACACCTAGAGGCCATGCTCCATGACAAGAAAAGCCACCGCAATGAGAAGCCTGTGCACCGCAACAAAGAGTAGACCCCGCTCGCCGCAACTAGAGAAAGCCCATGTGCCGCAACGAAGACGCAACACAGCCATAAATAAATAAATAACATAAATAATTTTTTTTTAAAAATGAAATGCAATGAAGGGGAAACATCTCACATATTTGAAAACTTTTATTCTTTTAGAGAATTCAAAGAAGATATACAGATGAAATCTGACAACACATGTGGATTTATAATTCTAAAAAGAATTTCACGGCAGTGAGAAAGCATATACTTATTTTGGTGATGTGCACATATTTGTTCAAAATAAAGATATAAATGTACACTTCTGAAATAGTCTAAAAATGTAACCTAAAAAGGGAAATCTTTATCAAATATACAGAAACATATAGTATGCTTTTAGGAAAAGCAGTAGTAAAAACCTGTGCAAATAAACTATATGTAAACACAATTTTTAAGAGTTTTACAAGTATTGCTTAAATCTAGATGCCTTTTCCATTTATGAAATCATATTTTCCCAAGGAGTTCAAGTCACATAACATGGTTTACCTAGTTAATCTATAATGTATGCACACTTTACTACTGACCCATCTATAGCTGGTAAAATTAAGGCAGGGAAAGTCACTGAATATTTTTAAGCCATGACTAAACTTTAGAACATGGCCCTAAACTTCTAAATCAAATACCATATATATTTTTTTAAGTGATGTAAGCAAATTGCCATTAGAACACACACACACACACACACACACACACACACACACACAATTTAAAAACTACTGATCCAGTCCTTAATAGGTTAAATAGACTCAATGCCATAATTAAATAATTTCAGGATCCTTTAACACAATGATGCCACAGTAAATCAAGGCATTCTTAGACAGGAGGTTTTGACTTCATCAAAGTACTTCTTAACATAGAGTTTTTCTCTAATTTTCCAATAATGTTTCTATTTCAAAACAAGAAAAAAAAAAACAGCTTCATAGAGACCTGATAACTTTAACCAATATTTAGTTTTGCTTCTATTATTAAGCAGTATTTCCCCAAATATATTAAATGGAGTTACAACAAATGGATCATCAATACTACACAGGGCCCCAATACTCTAGCTATAGTCGGTCTTTCATTGTGAAATGTAAACTTCTGAGAAGTGAAGATTCCAGCAGTGAATCTGGTAAAGCTAGGACAGAAACATTTAGTGACTTTTACCTGACCAACGGATAAGTGCCCAACTGCCCTATACAAGAGAAAACAGGATGATGGGGGCTTCCCTGGTGGCGCAGTGGTTGAGAGTCCGCCTGCCGACGCAGGGGACACGGGTTCGTGCCCTGGTCCGGGAAGATCCCACATGCCGCGGAGTGGCTGGGCCTGTGAGCCATGGCCGCTGAGCCTGTGCGTCCAGAGCCTGTGCTCCGCAACGGGAGGCCACAACAGTGAGAGGCCTGCATAAGTTACGTGTAAGTTACGTGTAAGCAGGTGGTATACCCTGCAGAGTGCCTGGTATTCCAACAATCTGCTTTCCCTGAGCCAGATACCATCTTAATAAATACCATCAGCTACACAGACAGTACAGCTTCTAGAACAATTGTACAGAAGAAAGAGTATAAACACTTGGGACTAAATGTTCTTTACATGCTGTTTCATGCTCAGGGTTTTGATGTTTGCTTTCCTGTCATGCAGAAGCCCAAAGCCTCATTCTTGCAAAAGGGTAAAAATTGCTGCTCGTGGTCTTGGTTAAAAAAAAAAAAAAAAAAAATCTGGAAAATAAAGTATACCCCAATTATACATCAGAGCAGTATAGTTAAACAAGAGGAATTATTAGCAAAAAAATAAGTGCTAAAACCAGTAGTGCCCTGGGCTCTTGTGTTTCACCAAGATAACTGTGCACACTGTCCTAGCTGAAGACTGGAAGTTTCGCAATTAAGCTAGAATTCCTTCGTTATCCTGCTTGATTCAACTCTGTTTGTTGGCATGTTCAGAATCTGACAATTGCCTAATGATACCAGACACGTAGGGAGGAATTCACTGGGCCTCATTCAGAAATTTCATCTGTAATTGCATGTTTCCCGAAATAATCCACCTATCAGCAAATACCCTTAACCTGCAGTTAGCAAATAGCAACTAGTTCTAGGCAAATTCTAGGTGATGTCGTTGGAAGGGAAGAGTGATTGAGACTGAGTTTTACCACTGACACCTAATTCTATAAAGCTATGTGTCAGAAATGTCATATTTTCACAGGCTAACTTCTTATCACTTCAGTAGTTGAAAATTCATTTTATTGTGGATTAGGGGGAAATAACTAGACTAAAAAAACACCATTTCATCAAGGAAATTAGAAATAAGGCTAAAGTATACTATTAGGCCTATGTTAATTTAAAGGAAATAATTAAGCAGCAATTAAATAGCTGATATATGAATATGGCAAAAATTGTGAAGCTGGTATGAGAACACCCACACTGTCAGAAAAGGTAATAAATGGTATGTTGCAGAAAAAGTATTACATTGTATTCAATACAGGCTGGTAAATATCTCCCCTTCTATGCCAGGGGTCTGTAAATCAAGACCCTATGGTCCAATAAGTACTACCACCTCTTTTTACGAATAAAGATTTATTGAAATATAGTACTGGTAGGCAGAATCATGGCCCTCAAAAAAAGCTTAGTCCTTAATCCCCAGAACCTGTGAATATATTACTTTGCATTGCAAAGGGAGCGTTGCAGATGCGATTGAGGTTATGGACCTCGAAATGGGGAGATTATCCTGAATGATATCCTGTCTGAGAGATGCAATAGAAGAAGGGTGAGGGATTTGAAGCCTAGAGGCTAGTTGGCTTTGAAGATGGAGGAAGAGGTCATGAACCAAGGAATGGTGGCCTCTAGGAGCTGAGAATAACTCTTAGTTGATGCAAGAAAACAGAAACCTCAGTCTTACAGCCATAAGAAACTAAATTCTGCCAACAACGGAAATTTGTAAGGGAACAGATTCTCCCCTAGAGCTTCCAGAAAGGAACACAGCCCTGCCAAATGACAACTTGATTCTATCCTGGCAAGAGTTGTGTTGAATTTCTGACCTATAGAATGATAAAATAATAAATGTGTGCTATTTAATACAAGTTTTAGTAATTTGTAAATAATTTGTTTTAGTAATTTGTTATGGCAACAATAGAAAACTAATACAATAGTCACCCCTATTCATTGACCAGTTGTCTGAGGCTGCACTGAGGTGGAGTAAAGTGGATGTGAGAGAGACCTTATGTCCTGCAAAGCCTAAAATATTTGCCAACTGGTCCTTTACAGAAAAAGTTTGCCCCTCACCCCGATATTCACATGCAAAAACCATGACAAGCAGCTTGCATCTTGGAGCACTTAGTTGATGCCAGGCTCTGGGCTAGGTATTTTGTATTCATATCATCTTTCTGGATGGATACTATTTTGGTCCCCATTTTACAAATGAAAAAAAAAGTGAAGGCAGAAAGGTTAAGTAACTGTTCAAGGTCACCCAGTGAACCAACAGTGAGCAGGGACTCCAAGCCAAGTATGGTTGATTTCCAAGCTTGGCTCACCTCTTGGCCATTCTCCACACCCCAGATGCTCACCTGAGGCCTCCTATCTCTGGTAGAAAGCAATGGGGAGCTGTCGGCTGGGTACCAGGATGCCCAAGTGCAGCATCTCCACAGGCTCCTTGTCTGTGGCCACGATGTCATATTTGCGGACGATCTGGAACACAGAAGCACAAAAAAGCAGAATCACCCCTCTTCCCTGCCTTGAGGAATAGCCCAGAATACAGCTGCAGAAATCCCATCAGGGTCTTACCCAGCAGAGAGCCAAGTGGAGCTGGAGCTCAGCTAATCGGCGACCAATGCACATTCTTTTCCCAATGCCAAATGGAAGATGGGCAAAAGGGTTGATCTTTTTCTTCTCTTGAAGCCATCGTTCGGGTCTAAACTGACTTGAATCCTCAAAATTTTCTTCATTGGACCCCAACACATGGGTATTTAGCATCAATACTGTCTAAAAACACACAGAAACACAAAGCACTTAAAGAAAACGTTTGAATGGCAAAATTTACAAAAGCCATCACCTTACAAATGTGAAAGTAACCCACAAATGTATAATAATGATGGATGCCAACATCTATTGAGTGCTTGAAATGTGCCAGGTGATACTGGCACAATAAATAGGTCATGAACTTTAAAATTTTACATCACATTCTCACAACAATCCCATGTGGTAGGTTTTATTTCCATTTTACAGATGAGAAAACTGAGGCTCACAGAGGTTATGTAACTCGCTCAAGGCTATACTTGAATCCAGGTCTGTCTATGGAGACAGAAAACCATTATTCCTAACGCTAGACTACACAACATGTCAACTATATACTGCAATCTACACATTTCCAAAATGAATGCTCTCCCAGTAGAAACGTTTAGGGAGATCTGATGGATATTTGAAAAGGGTAAGGTACAGACTGTACAAATTCTACTTACTCCTTTGGGTAAAGCATATTCCCCCAGAACCATTGCTTTGTCAAGAGTCCGAGTTGTAAATGGCACACTCGGGGTAAGCCTGAAAAAACAAAATCAGAGATGTCTAAGTGGGCACGGACCAAGTTCTAGCTCAAGGGAATGCAGATTCTGGTTAAATAAATAGTTGCTGCCTGAGTTCTCAAAAAAGGAACATGATCCCAACTCTTTACAAAGAAATTCTGTCTCTTTCTTCCCAATATTTACACCTCTTCTTTATATTCTTTATCTTATTGTGTTGGTTAAACCCCCAAGTACAAGCCTGCTTCATAGCTGTTAATAGTGTTTGTTCGGTTTCATTCCCCGTACACATTCAAATGTGTACATTGACATGCTTCGCCCTCAAGCTTGTTGTTTGTTCTCGGTTTCTCCTAACTACCCTTCATGAAGTTAAAGATATTTCCTTCTGACCCCAAGACATTGTGAGCTTTGTTTTCCAGAAAAAGAATTTTCAAAGAACATTTTATACAGAGGCTCAAAAACAAAGGTGTCTCTATGTCTTATCATATAATAATATGGTTCCTTTCTGAGCTTTCATCTCACATCCTTCGATCGTGCCCCTAATCTTAATTATTGCTTATAGCGTCCATTAGAGTATTATTATTACTGATTTAAAGGGCAAGACTCTGACTTTCCAAGATTTAATAGAATTTGCCCAAATGATTTAGGAAATGAGTAATAGGAAAGGAATATGGTCCAAAGGCTTTTTTTTTTTGTAGCCTGGTAAATGTTTACGAATCAACTGTGGGAGCCATCTGTGGGAGGGCACCCCTTATTATGTGTTGGAGAAAACAGCCTTCTGACATATTCATATTGGCTTAGGCACGTGTTCTTACCGCATAGATTCTTTCAGACAGGCTTTTAAATATGGCATATTCCTCAAATCCTCTGCCCGTGGCATCTGATTCTCAGGCAGTACACTCTGAATTTCCTTAAGAAGCTTTTGTTGCACGTGGGGATTACGAGATAAATTGTAGAGAATCCACATTAAGCTGTTTGCTGTCTGAAAGCCAAATGGACATAAACTTGAGTTTTCTGCAAATAAACTGCCTTAAAACCAATATGAGCTGAACCAAAGGTGATGCCTACCACCTTGTCATGAAAACATTATGAGTGACGCTTTTTTACATGTCCTTCTTGGATGTGCTTCCAACAAATGCCCTGTATGAAAAGTCAGATTTAGTTTCTAAAACACATCAATGAATAATAGCTTATTTCCTGAGGGAATCAAAGTAGAATTCTTTAAATAATCAGCTGCATTAGGACGCAAAATATAGTTTGGTACAAAAATTGAACACAAATGAGGGCATGTAGAACAGGCCCAATGAGAGTTGGATGGACGATTGCAACAGTATCAATTTCCGGGTTGTGATAACAGTTTATCTTATGCACATGTTACCATTGAGGGAAACTTGGTGAAGGATTAAGGGATCCTCTCTATTTTTTTTCTTAGAATTGCATGTGAATCTATAATTATCTCAAAATGAAATTTGTTAATTGTTTAATATAAAAAATGATATGAAAATTGAATGGGGAGAGAGCCTAAGAGTGTTGCTAATAAGTGTCTTTTTTGTTTTTAAATTTTGCAATGCAAATGCACAAGAAGTTGCATTCCTGGAATTTAACAGAAAGATTTTTTTTTGCCACACCCTCAAAAGTTACCACAAAAATAAAAAGGCATTATCTGTACCCAGGGTTTCAGCCTCAAGGAAAGAGCCCTGGTAGGAGGCGGCCAACAACAAAATAAGAAATTCTAGCGTCAAGTTGAGTATTTCAAAGAACCAGCCACAATTTCTGACAAAGACTCATGGCCTTTTAAGTGGCATCCTTTATTTCCTTTCCAAAGGCAATGAGAAGAGAAAAAATATTGGCAGAAACAGCCAGTGCAGCTTTTAGCTTCATAATACTCACCACTGGTAGTCTTATGTATTTGTCTTTAGGCCTATTTTTTTCTAATTTAAGCCAAATATTCCCATAAAAATGGTCACTGTGTCCTCTCTGCAGACATGAAGACGCTTTTGCTAAGTGCTATGTGCCACTCACATAAATGAGCCAAGTGCAGGACAATTTGGAGCCAATGGTATTTATTATTTTTGGAAGAAGATGCCTCCAAGTAGCCTTCTTCCTGTCAGAGGATTGCCAGCCTCAGCTGCAAATAAACCGTGGATGTCATTATTACAAGAGTCCAATTTACAAAACAGGAAGAGGGCATAGCCACCAAATTAGATACACTTTCAAATTTCTCTGATTTTTCAAATGTGACTTTCAGAATAGCCAGGACTAAAAAAAGAAACAGATTGAACCGTATCAGTGGGTCCCTTACCACAAGTACCAAATAGAGTTTCCAAAAGGCAGATAACTGTAGCTTTCACCAAAGCCCTGTAAGACAGCCCTGGCCTTTTAGGATAACTGCAGGGGCTGAATGGAGGGGAAGTGGCCTGAGAAACCTCATGGGCACCAAGTATCCCGGTTTGACCTCCATGGAGGAGACACATCTCATAGCTAGCTGGCCTTGCTGCTTCCACTCTCTCTCTGCTAGGTCCATTCTCCATCCACCAGCCAGAGCCCACTTTACAAAATATCAGTCTGATTAAGCGCCTCCCTTGTTTAAAACACTCCAAGAGATTTCCGTCACAGGTGCAGTAAATCCAAATGCCTCACAAAGGCTCCTGGTTAACAGGGCCCATCGTCTTCTCCCCTGTCAACTCTGACCACATGTGCCAGTTCTCCAGTCCATCCTTCTTTCTGCCCAGGGCCTTGGCATGTGCTGTTTCCTCTGCTTGGAGTGGTCTTCCACCAGCTCTTCCCTTGGCTGGCTCCTTCTCGTTATTCCAGTGTCAGCTCCAGTGTGACATCTCAGAGAGAGACGACCTCCCCTACCTCTCTGTGACTTCACCCAGGTCCTGGATCACTATCTGAAATGATCCTATTTCATTATTTATTTACATGTCTATCATCTGTGCCCCAAGACCACTTAAGTTCCATTGCGGGGGGGGGGGGCTTCCCTGGACATGCCGCGGAGCGATTGGGCCCGTGAGCCATGGCCGCTGAGCCTGCGCGTCTGGAGCCTGTGCTCCGCAACAGGAGAGGCCGCGGCGGTAAGAGGCCCTCGTACCGCAAAAAAAAAAAAAAGTTCCATGTGGGGAACTGGTTCATCATGGTCTCTCAAGTACCCGAAACAGTGCCTGGCACAGAGCAGACACTCCATAATTCCTGAATTCTTTCATTTATTGAACAAGTATTTGTTGAGCACCTACTATGTGCCAACTTCTATTCCACACCCTAGGAAGAGCAGGGACAAAATCAAGTCATCACTGTCATGGAGCTCCCCATTCCAGTTGAAAAAATAAGAATAATGGGTTAAGCTTTACTTCCATCACTCTAAGGAGCCTGTTGGGGTAAAAGGGATTTAACAGAAAAATGAGTCGACGTAAGTCCCCACTTTTGACAGCCTTCTGGAGTGTGAAGAGAAATGACAACCTTGCTATACCCTGATGTAGAAAACCCTACTTTTTGTTCAGACCAGAAACACTACAGAAAGGGGGAAACATGGAACAGGAATGACCTGGTATACATTTTTCTTAGAGATGATACGTGTATGAGGTGTTGGGCCTGTGGGGAATATTAGTATCATCACCCCAGCGATAGCTCAAAAAACGAACCAAAGACGATGAAACCCACCTGAATACTTGTCAGTATTTATGTCTGGAGTTTGGCTGTATTGTGTACCTACTAGGAGTATCAACCATATTGGGGACAGAATTTTGGTATTTAAAATTAGCTGTTTTGGGCTTCCCTGGTGGTGCAGTGATTGAGAGTCTGCCTGCCGATGCAGGGGACACGGGTTCATGCCGCGGTCCGGGCCCCGGTCCGGGAAGATCCCACATGCCGTGGAGCGGCTGGGCCTGTGAGCCATGGCCGCTGAGCCTGCGCGTCCGGAGCCTGTGCTCC